CCCCAAAACCCCAAAACCCCAAAACCCCGCCACAGAGATTTAGTGGGCAGATTCGAGTAAGCTTTTATTATAATAAAAATGTTTGATATTAAAGAACATCCGAGTCTTGAAACTCTTACAGAAATGACTGAGCACAACATGCTCAATTAGTCTACAACTGTAGGGAACACCACTGTCTAGCACATTCCTAATAATTTAGATTTCTCAGCGATTATGAACAACAATAACTTGACTCAAATTTATGGCTTGGATTCCAGAGGAGGAGGTGGGGCAAGAAAACCTATCAATAGTTCTTACTATGTCCCTCCAACTCTTAAAAGAACCAATTCCAATGATAAAAAGAGAGATTTTCACAAGAAACTTCAAAGTAAATTGGACACTTTAATCAAGAAAAAAGATTATCAACTGCTTATGCAAATGACTAAAAGTAAGATCGCTCAGAATATGGGTAATTTAGGATCTATGCTGGGAAAAGGACTTGGAGCGAGAAGGAAATCCACTGACAATTCTATGAATCAGACCTAGAACATACTGCTCTCTCCAAATGCTGATAGTCCGAAAAATCATCAGCAAACTAATCCAAACTTAGGGAAAGCAGGCATCTTCCAGCTATTGAACCAATCTTAGGGGATCGTTGACGATGCGTAACAACCTTAGAATGAAAGAAACAAATCACTAAATCATTCTTTGACCTTGTAGCCACCTCCCTCAGATCCAATCGAACTAATCTCCTCAAGTGAAGATGAAGATGAGGAAGCGAAGGAGATGCAGACTCTGATAGCTGAAGGTGAAGGCAAGCTAAAGCGTAAAAACAGAGTGATCTCATATGAAACTGGAACTAAAAGCATACTATGCAAGAGATTCGTAAAGCTTGGCTAGTGTGCACAAGGTGATAAATGCGAATATGCGCACTACAAGAAAGATCTACAGTTTAATTCCCCTTAGGAATGGGTGGAGTTAGTCAAGAATATAAGCCATTAGAATAAAATGAGTTTGGAAACTAAATCACAGATGAGTTCTTTGAAGGAGATTAATGCGAAGTACATTATTGATAATACTGGCCAAAACATGACTAAGACCTTATTAGATGCAGCTAGAATGGATGACTACAGAGGAGTTGAGTTTCTGATTTAGAATGGAGCTAACCCTTCTGCCTAGGATTTCAAAGGAAATGATGCACTCTTCTACGCAGTCATCAATAACTGTGTAAAGACAATCAAATCTCTAATCCAATATGGAGGTGATAAACTTCCTGTTGACAGAGTATACGGCAAGAAAAAGCGAAACCTATTGACTAATGCAGCAATATACTCCTAGGATATTAGAGTTTTGGAGTTACTGCTAGATCATTAGTCACATAGAATTAAATTCAACGTCAATCAGACTGATAGATTTTAGAGAAATGCTGTATTCTACTCTCTATTTAGGAATAAACTCAGAGCAGTGCAACTTTTTATTTAACAAGGCTAAAGTTAATTGGATATAGTAGATTTAAGTGGAATGTACATGATCGACTATGCCCTCTAATTCAACTTCGAAGAGATACTGCTTGAGCTTGTGAAAGGAGGGGCTAGACTCGGCATTAAAAATAGCAAAGGAGTCGCTATTATGATGTACGCTGCTCAGGTCGGGAATTTAGAATTAATCAAAGCTCTGATGGCTAAGAACATACCATTGACTAGTTTAAGTGAAGATAGTGGTCTAAATTGTCTGATGGTAGCATTATAAGCTGGTAAGAATGAACTTATATTTAGGATTTTGGACTACGTTATTAACATCAAGGCTTTTAATCAACAGTGTAGAGATCTAGGCGAAACTCTTTTGATGAAAGCTATCTAGAGAAATCAGATAGACATAGTAACAGTGCTACTCTAGAGACAAGGGATATCAATTGGTACTCTAAAGGATCATTAAGGCAGGACTGAATTGATTCACGCAGTCGAACGAAATTCAGTTGAGATTGTGGCATTGCTGATTGAAGCTGCTCAAAGAACTAAATAGGATCTAGATATGAACAACTATGACAAGAGAGGCAGGACTGCTATAATACACGCTGCCTTGAACTAAAATCTTGAGATACTTAAGCTCCTGCTATTTTAATACAAATTTCCGCCAGCTATAAGCAGTCCAGGGACAAATCATCAGGAGCAGGTGCATGTGGTGAAGTGGAAGGACGACTTGGGCAAGGATGTATGTGACTATGCTTAGACTGAGGATATAAAAATAACACTGAGCTAATACATTGAACAGAGCAACCAGCTATACCCAGGCTATTTCAATATGATAGCTTCGATTCAGAAAAAGATGCTAATGTAAAAATAGAAAGAGACTTTCCTAAATAAGGTAGAGGCAGCTGCAAGTCTTACAGCCAAGAAATCTGGTGCTCCAGAAGGTGATGAAACTAAGCAAAGAAAGTTCTTAGATCTTGAGGCTTTGAAAAAAGTTTAGATGCTAGAAAATTAAAAGCAAAAGACTATGAAGAACAAGCTTAAAAGAATTGAAGAAGAGATAAATGCTCAGAGCGAGTAGATGAAGAACTAATCAGAGCAGGCAGAGAATGAAAAGATTATGATACTATAGCAAATATCCAAGAAGAGACTCAAGTCACTTAGATCTATTGCCCTCAAGTTCCCAAAATTGTCAAATCTAGAGCATAATCCTAAGTTTAAACAAGCCATTACTCATCTCTATAACGAGAGTGATCTGACTAAATTCAAAAATACGAGCAAGCGCAGGACAGTCAATGAGATCCTAGATCATCACAGCCCGAACAAGGTGCTTTAAAGATACTAGTCAAAGAAGACAATTAATGAATTTGAAGAGCGTCATTTAAGCAAGATTGGAGAGGAGGTACTGCAACTCCCTATGCTTAAACTAGAAAAGATCACTTCACCAGAACTAGCTGAGCCCAACCAAAGCAGCAGCTTCTCTAATTAAAAAACACTCAATAGCAAGAACCACATAAACATCAAGCAAACCCTGACTCGAATATTCTCAGAGGATTAGATTTCCAAGTTCAAGTCATTGACTCGCTCTCTCGACAAAAACATCAACCTTGACATTCCGATATATAAGAAGTCAGCAATTGATACAGCATCCTCAAGGAATTCAGAAGCCTATACTGCCAGCATATTTAATCTCAAAGATAAGGTTCAAAGCAAGGACTTTTTGCCAAATATCAGAAATTCTATTCAGAAGGGATCATCCAAGGTAGCAGTCTCATAAAGTGATTTGAAAGAGGTCAAGAATCGAGACGAGGCTAAGAAATCTAAAATGCAAAGGATGATTAAGTTGGCAAAGCTGGATGACAGTGATCTAGAAGAAGAGTTCCAAGAAGAGGAGGAGGAGCTAAAGTTTCTAGCTAAGGGGGTGAAAGGTGATTTTGTAAGATAGAAGATCAATGCTAACTTTTAATGAAAATTGACAAAACTAGATTGGATACTAAACATATGAATTGAAGAATATAAGGATACTTAAATTATTTAAATAAAACTTGATTGAGCTTGATTTCATAAAATAAACTTTTTATAAAATGATTAAAGCAATTTAATATCGAGGGGTTTTGGGGTTTTGGGGTTTTGGGG